AACTGAGCCACCCAGTCGCCCCAGATTTGTGACCATCTTGATACATGTCTCCTGAGTCTGTGATTATAGCTTTTTTTCCATATTTGCTTTTCTTTTTTCCTTAATTTTGACTTGTGGGGAATTTATTTCAAAGAACTAGCTTTTGGATCTGTTTATCTTCTATTGAGTTATTTCATTCATTTCTTCATATTGTGAGAATTGAATTTATTTTCAGTGTTCTTTAATGAAAATATCTGAAACCCAAATTCTCACTTGAACCGGTAGAGCTTTTACTGTGTCCCATAGATCTTGCTTTTGTCTTCCCATTGCTTTCTGGATAGCTTGTGGTTTTGCTTTTGTTACCCTCATTGATCCAAGGGTTATCCAGGATTGTCCCAAATAATTGGGAGTTGTATTTTATCTTTTTTCCCCTAGTTTTAGCAGGTCAGAAGTTGAGAACATAAATTGTAAAAATATTTTTTAAAGTTTAAATTTTCTCTATAGTAACATGATAATTTTTAAATTTTTTCTTTCACTGCTTTTCTTCTATTACCTCAAGATTCTCTATATCAATTCTAATTTATTGGCTGTATTACTCAATCCTCTGCCCTTGCTCATACTATGTTTACTGAATCTGTACCATTCTGAGGGGCGCTATTAAAGTCTCCCACTTGTCTTTTATTTTTACCAAGTCACCTGGTATTTTTCTTAGGCTTTCCTTGTGTGTTTATCTGTTGTAATGATTTGCATGTGCAAGTTTAGGAATGTTGTATTTTCTCCATCCTTTTATGATCATGATTGCATTTTATCTTAAATCTCACCCGGGGTTAATACCAGTAATGTCTGTCCTGCTCTCTGTGTTTGGCTAGGCTGGTATGTTTCAGCCTGTCCCTTTGTTTTCAGCATTTTTGCTACTTTAAGAATGTTCTTCCACTTAATGATTGATTTTATTACTTTTTCTTTTTCCACAATTTTGCTAGCTTGATCAAGTTGCTATTCCATATTTTTCTCTTAATTTGGAAGTTCCACTATAATTTTTCTTTAATTGTTACTTTTTCTTTTATAGTCACTTAATTTCTATATTTGAAAAAAAGACTAAAGCTCCTTCTTCCGCTGGGACCATCTGTATTCCATCTGACCCCTCACTTCCCCTTTGGAATGTTTTACTTCTATGTTCTCACTCTTGCCCTCAACTCTTAAGTAGTTTTATACTAATTATTATTAATACAATTTTCCTAGGATGTCCCTTTCCATTCAGGACACCTTAATTCATTCCAGATAGTTTGTTAATGTATGGACCCTGCTCTTTGTTCTTCTCAGGAAAATATTCTATTGTTATTCTTTTTCTCCCTCTATTCCTTTTTTACTGACAAGAACTCTTATTGATTGCCAACGGGGCATGTGGGTGGCTCAGTCAGTTAAGTATCCCACTTCGGCTCAGGTCATGATGTCACGGTTCATGGGTTCAGGCCCCACATCAGGCTCTGCAATGACATAGGGGAGCCTGCTTGGGATTCTCTCCCTCTTTCTCTCTGTCCCTCCCCTGCTCACGCTTCCTGTCTCTCTCAAGATACATAAATAAGCTTTAAAAAAAAAAAAAGTTAAAATAAAAACAAGATAGATTGCCTAGATTGTTTCTCCAAGACTATCTTTTAAATCATGATTTCCTTCTCTGTGTTTTTGCCCTTGCATTAAGTTTTCTAATATTTGATCTTCCAAGGTGAATCGCAGCTGTGACCATTGTTCAGTTGAGTTACCAAAGTCTGAGTTTGAAAATCATGTTTTGTTTTAAGTAGTATACTTGCATCTTTATCGTAGCGTTACTATTTTTTTGGTTCACGTTATTGCCTTCCTCTTCCTGCAGCTTGCCTGTGGAGCTCTTTTCGGAGACAGGGAGTTGGGGTCACTTATCATCTTACTCCTGGGGTCCTCACACTCAGGGACTCTGTTCTCCGAGCTTTTCCAGGATGCACTATATTCGTTTCCTTGCCAGAAGGTTCTTCAGAATTCACTTCCTGCTTTTGTTCTTCCTAACATTCCTACTTTCCTTTAAGTTTACTTTAATTCCACCACCTAGGCTTGGAGCTATCCACTCCTCCTCAATCACTGCCCTTCCCTTTTAGCCCAGGCCTTACCTCATACTCCCTTCTGAGCCATAGAAGCAACAAGTGGTTTACAGACTGCGTGTGAGTTCTCAACTCTCCTCTGCCTCCCTTCTTGTTCCAGTGGGACACATGAGGGTAAGGCCTTCCCATGGGCCACTAAGAACGAGAACGAAGACTGTAAACTTACCTTCTGTGAAATAATACAAATCCTACTGCTGTTGGCCTTTGTTAACCAAACTGTGCATGGGGGTGCAGGAGCCTCACGTCTTCAGAGGTGGTTGGGAACATTTCCATTCAGAAGGGAAACAGTGTGCAGTTTTCAGGAATGTTAAGGTTTGGGGGATGGGGAAGCAAGAACACGAAGGGCATAAGTTTCTAAGCTCCAGAGGGAATCAAATCTGACCTCATTCATATCTTTTGACCTTGTTACCAAAGACTGTTAGCCGACAGACTCCATGTTCCCCAAAATTTCAAGTCTTCTAAAATTCGTATTAAATTCCAACTATCTCTAAAACTATTGTCATGTTCTTCAAACACTCCAATGCCTTCAGTCCTTTTTCCTTTAATTATAAATGTTGCTCTGAGTGCCCCATTGTCTAAAACTAGTTGTCAAGAGCTCAGAGAACCTCCCAGCAGCAGACATCGCTCTATAAGTACGCTTTCCTTGTTGAAAGGTTTCGAAGAGGGAAAGGAAATTATAGAATTCCAGAGGTCATGAGATTTTGTCTTTTTCTCTTGTTGTGTCCCTGGTTCTTAGCATATAATCAGTACTAGAAAAACGTTTAGACTTTGTTGGAAATAAGGAACGTCTATATGTGTACATACGTGAATGTGGTTGACTTAATTGACCTAATTTTTTATATCTAATTTTTAATGAGATGATAATTTTCTCATTTCTGTAATTTGATGCAGTTAACAAGTAAAACAGGAACTGTTGATGCTTTAGGTGTTAAGTCTGTGTACATGTCAATTCATACTAAAGTGTGTATGTGTACATGCATATATGTATATGTGGGTTTTTTTCTTAACAGATTGAGAAAACTTCACTGAAGATGTCTAAGGTAAGATATCACACTTTTTTTTAAATTTATTTTAAATTTTATGTGTTTGGTTTTTTTTTTTTAATTAATTAATTTATTTATTTATTTTTTTTTTTTTTGAGAGAGCGCATGCACACTAGCTGGGGAGGGTTAGAGAGAGAGCTGTCAGCACACAGCCCCTCGCAGGGCTCAAACTCACAAGCCATGAGATCATGACCTGAACCAAAGTCAGATGCTTAACCAACCGAGCCACCCAGGCACCCCCATGTGACTCATTTTTAATATGACTGATATATTTGATTTGTTGAGGCAGTGTGTAATTTTTTTTTTTTTCAACGTTTATTTATTTTTGGGACAGAGAGAGACAGAGCATGAACGGGGGAGGGGCAGAGAGAGAGGGAGACACAGAATCGGAAACAGGCTCCAGGCTCTGAGCCATCAGCCCAGAGCCTGACGCGGGGCTCGAACTCACGGACCGCGAGATCGTGACCTGGCTGAAGTTGGACGCTTAACCGACTGCGCCACCCAGGCGCCCCTAGGCAGTGTGTAATTTAATTGACATTCTAAAAACTTTGAACTTTATTTTTTTAGATTTCCAATTTGTTTCTCAGTACATCAGTAACAATCCATTTAGCCTCCTTTACATCATTTTCAGAACACCAATCAAATAATAATTTAAAATTCTAATCATATTTCATCATGAAACTTACAGGGTTCTTAGACTTGACAAATTGGCTTGTATCAGCTCTTGCAGATTAGCCCAGAGCCCTGAAGTAAATTAGTTTTGAAAGACATGCTGAGAAAAGCAGAACTTGTGGTTAAAATTGCAAGATTATTACTTCCCTTTGCCTTTTATTTTTGAATGTTTCAGTGTTCATTACTGATGCATAATTACCTTACTAATTTTTACTTTTTATGCAAGTATGAGTCGGGAACACTGATGAGCAAAAAAACAAATAAAAATTAACCATAATTTCATCACCTAGAAATAACCACTAGTAACATTTTATGAATATTTTTACATCTGCGCATGTGTGCATATGAATATACGTTTCCAAAATCCTAAAGGAAAAATACTATCTTATGTCTTGGCTGTCAAAATTAATAAAGCAGTTGGTGTATCCTTTTTTGATTTCCTCACATTTTTAGTATGCTATGCCTAGATTCTATAGCTTTGATATACTTTATGGCATCTCCGGTTTATTCCACCTGTCCAGGAATATTGATGCTTCGTTGTCCTCAGCTGTGATTCATTTTTCATTCCTAGTCTTCTCTTTGATCCTTGAAGCCCGATGCTCACATCCCACCCCTAAATGGCCTGCCTCACCCTTGATGGCACTGTTGCATAGAGCTGGGAACAAACAGGAGACACGGCTTGTTCCTGAACACTGTTCACAAATGCATCACACCTGATACCTAGAAGGATTGGCTTTTAGAAACTATTCTTCTGCTAAGTTTGTTCTGTGAAACCACTTTCAGTTGTGGCATTACTTTGTAAGTTTGATTTTCCTGCATGTAATAATAGTAGATTGGTTTATCTTTTTAAAAGTGTTAAGTGAATACAATCAGTTTTCTGATACAGGTGATTTTTTTACAAAAATGTGGATTTGTTTGTGTATTTTTTTTAATTTGTGGGAACTAATGATACCTATGTTTGTCACAGGTTTGATTATATCTTAAAGGCAACTAATAAGGTGTTTTTTTGGTTTTTGTTTTGTTTTGTTTTGTTTTTGTAAAATCTTATTTTAGCAACAACCAACTCAGTTTATAAATCCAGAAACTCCTGGCTACGTTGGATTTGCAAACCTTCCCAATCAAGTTCACCGAAAATCAGTGAAAAAAGGTTTTGAGTTCACACTAATGGTGGTCGGTAAGAAATTAACCTTTACACCTTACACCTTTGAGCTTTTTAAATATGCAGGTGTTTCCTCTTCTCAACCTTTAGGGTATAATTGTGTGACCTATAAAGTCCAAGGGAATATTCCTTTATTGTCAGGATCAAATAACTGGGGAATTTGAAAAAGATTGTTTAGAAAATTTTTCTGAAGAGTAAAATCTTAATATTTCTGTCGTTTCCTTATTTGTATGTGGTGGAAGTATTCACTCATTATGCCAGTGAGCCTCCAGAATGGCCCCAGTGATCCTTGCCTCCTGGAATTTGTGATACTTTCTAGCCCCTTCCTACATTGAGTAGGACTTAACCCGTGTAGCCAGTAGAACATGGCAGCAATGAAGGTGTGTGACTTTTTTTTTTTTCAACGTTTATTTATTTTTGGGACAGAGAGAGACAGAGCATGAACAGGGGACGGGCAGAGAGAGAGGGAGACACAGAATGGGAAACAGACTCCAGGCTCTGAGCCATCAGCCCAGAGCCTGACGCGGGGCTCGAACTCACGGACCGCGAGATCGTGACCTGGCTGAAGTCGGACGCTTAACTGACTGCGCCACCCAGGCGCCCCGAAGGTGTGTGACTTTAAGACTGGGTCATAAAAGACATTGCAGCTTGCCCCCTATCTTTTTTTGAATCACTCTGGGGGATGCCATCCACCATGTTGGGAGGACCCTTCAGAAGCCTTATAGAGAAGTCTCACAAGGCAAGGAGCTGAGGGCCACCAGTTGCTGTGTGTAAGCTGTCCAAGACCTTCCGTAACAAAGTTATAAACAAGCTTTGAAGGATCAAGCTGGGTGAAAAATTAGCTGCTTGTCAGGACAAAACCCATCATTCATTAAAGATGGAAATCAAAATCCAGTGTACAGTGTAATATTTACACTTGCCATCATCCAGTAAAAAGTTGTAAATGCAAAGAAGCAAAACAGTGTGGCACGTAACCAAGAGAAAAATCAGGTAATAGAAACAGATCCAGAAATGATAGAGATGATAGAATTAGCGAACAAGACCTTTTACTATTTTAACTGTGCTCCTGCTACCTAAAGGAGAACATCAATATAAGAAGGAAATAGAAGATAACCAAAAGAACTTACATGGAACTTTTAGAGATTAAATTTTTTTCTATATAACAGCAGATTATATACTGCCGAAGAGAAAGGGCAATAGAAAGCATCCAGACACCAAGTAGAATAAATAAGAAAAGCACACAATAAACAGTTGGTGAAAGCACTGATAAGAAGGAAAATCTTATAAGCAGGTGGGGGGCGGGGAACAAGCACATTACATGCAGAAGGTCAAAGGTGGAAAGGACCACTGACTTATCATATATGAGCCATATGCAGTGATAGTTTAAAGTACTGAAAGAGGGGCGCCTGGGTGGCGCAGTCGGTTAAGCGTCCGACTTCAGCCAGGTCACAATCTCGCGGTCCGTGAGTTCGAGCCCAGCGTCGGGCTCTGGGCTGATGGCTCAGAGCCTGGAGCCTGTTTCTGATTCTGTGTCTCCCTCTCTCTCTGCCCCTCCCCCGTTCATGCTCTGTCTCTCTCTGTCCCAAAAAAAATAAATAAACGTTAAAAAAAATTTTTTTTTAAATAAAGTACTGAAAGAATAAAACCATCGGCTTAGAATTCTGAATTAATCAAAAATGACCTCGAAAAATGGAGATTTAGAGAAAGATGAGATATAAACATTTTTAAGTAAAAGCTGAGAATTTGTCACTGTCAGATCTACACCAAAAGAAAGATTAAACTGGGTTCTTCAGGTTGACGGAAAAGGTAGAGCACTGGAAATGGCAAGTGTGTTGGTAAATGTAAAACACTTTTCTTGGTTTTTTCATTTCTGTCAAACATAGTTTTAAAGCCAAGTTAACAGTGTTTAACATGGAGTAAGATGAATGAGGGCAGCACAGGACGGGAGGGTGCTGAGCTGATGTTACATAAGGGAGGGCTGCTGCGTTAGGGGTGCGTGTTATCAACTCCAGAGCAGCCACTAGGAAAGTCAAACAAGGGTTTGACTGAAAGCCAATAGTTTTGATAAAATAGAATACAGAACCCTGTTCAATCCAGAAAGCAGCAAAGAAACAAGAGATGAGACAAATGGAGAGAGGGCAGCACCCTAGCAGAAGGGGCATAGCCGTGACTGGGACAAGAAGTCAGAGGGAGAGAGTATGAGCCTGAAGGACCAGAATGGAAAATCATCATGCAAAGCCCAACCATAAGAAACCCAAAGCAGCTGTATTGATACGAGACAGAGTAGACTTTGTGTCTACTACCTGGATATTCCCAGAGATAAAGAAGTATGTATCCTAATGATGCAGGGATGAGTTCAAAACAACATCATTTTAAACGTATGTCACCTAGGGGCGCCTGGGTGGCTCAGTCGGTTGAGCGTCTGACTTCGGCTCGGGTCATGATCTCGTGGTCCGTGGGTTCGAGCCCCGTGTCAGGCTCTGTGCTGACAGCTCGAAGCCTGGAGCCTGCTTTGGATTCTGTGTCTCCCTCTCTCTCTGCCCCTCCCCCACTCATGCTCTGTCTCTCTTACTCTCAAAAATGAATAAATGTTAAAAAACAAATTTAAAAAAATAAATGTATGTGCACCTAATGATGGAGCTTCATAATGCACGATGCAGAATCTGCAAGAGAGAGAAATCTGAAGGTTGAGCCAACTGATGTCGAGAGCACTGTGCTGAGAAACCCCACGGTATACATTCTTTTCAAGTGCACATGGAGGATTCACCATAGATACTCTTGTGAGAATATTTTAGTAGGCCAACATTACCCTGTAGTCAATGATGAGAAAGTATAGACAATTCATGAGCGTAGACACAGACATCTCAATAAAATTTTAGCAAGTCCAGCAATACATAAAAATGCTTAATACATTAAGTTCTACTATAATGCAGTATACACGTGTTCCTTAAAAATCACCATGCTGTGGGGCACCTGGGTGGCTCAGCCGGTTGAGCGTCCAGCTTTGGCTCAGGTCACGATCTCACAGTTCATGGGTTCGAGCCCCGCCTCGGGCTCTGTGCTGACAGCTCGGAGCCTGGAGCCTGCTTAGGTGTCTGTGTCTCCCTCTCTGTCTGCTCCTCTCCCCACTCATGCTCTGTCTCTCTCCTTCAAAAATAAATAAAAACATTAAAAAAATATCACCATGCTCTGCAGTAATGCACTTGAAGCCATAGGCTTCTGGAGAAAATACAGGCACAAAAGTTGCCTCAGGGACCTATTAGGAAGAAGTAAGGAACATAATAAAAATGGTTTTTACATGTTAAATGGTTTTACACTTGTTAACTGGTTAAAATAATCATACTATACTGAATATGGGCACTATAGCTTGACCAGTCTCTGAAGTTTGTCAAAGTGGGTGTCGGGAAATGGTGGATGGGAAGCTGTGTCAGGAGAGGTGAGTGGGGATGGTCCACGATAACTGTTGAACAGAGGTCACTGGTGCTGAGGGGTGCACATTATTGAAAATGTTCTTTCATGGCTTGATTCTACTGGATACAGTTTTTGACGTTCACCTAGTTTGTCACCAGTGAAATCACACGAGCAGATACAATGCTTGTATTATGTTGAAGTTGTTCCCTAGTATATCAATTGTGTTGGAACAAATTCTCACCTTCAAGGCATGTGTTAATGGCAAAGCTGTCTATACATCCTAATGAATGGGGTTTACCTCAGGAGCACATGGGTTTTGGGGGGAGGGGCTTTTGTGTTTTTATTTGTTTATTTGTCGAGAGAGCATGGTGGGGGGGAGCAGGGGAAGAAGCAGAGGGAAAGAGTGAGAGAATCTCCACGACCTTGAGATCACTACCTGAGGCAAAATCAAGAGGCCAAAATCAAGTGACTCTTGACCAACTGAGCCACCCGGGCGCCACCCCTTGGGAGTGCATGATTTAACATTAGAAAATTAATCTGTGTGGTTCTAAAGGGGAAATTTATGCTGTCATCTAAAACATGCAGTCGCAACAATTCAAACCCATTAAAGATTTTAAAACTTTGTAAACTAAAAAAAACAAGGAAATTTTCTAAAACATTCTTAATTGCAAGTGAAATGATTTGTGTATGTTAAAAATTATAAGGAATCCCAAAACTACTATGTTTAATAAGTAAATTTTATCAAGTTGCAGGTTCTTTTTTTAATGTTTTATTTATTTTTGAGAGAGATAGAGTACAGAATCCAAAGCAGGCTCTAGGCTCTGAGCTGTCAGCACAGAGCCCGACACAGGACTCAAACTCGTGAACCACGAGATCATGGCCTGAGCTGAATTTGGACACTTAACTGACTGAGCCACCCAGGTGCCTCCACCAACAAATAATTTTAAAATGAACTTGAAAAGACCGTCAAAAACAATGGTAACAAAAACTTTTATTTAATGTATGTTTGTTTATTTTTGAGACAGAGGTCGAGACAGAGCATGAGCAGGGGAGGGGCAGAGAGAGAGGGAGACACAGAATCTGAAACAGGCTCCAGGCTCTGAGCTGTCAGCACAGAGCCCGACACGGGGCTCAAACCCACGAACCGTGAGATCATGACCTGAGCCGAAGTCGGACGCTTAACCAACTGAGCCACCCAGGCACCCCAACAAGAAACATTTTAAAAGACAGTACCATCCATAGTAATATAAGAAATGCACCATGCTTAGGCTAACTTAGCGGAATGGGTGCAGGACCTTCACTGACACCATGGCAGCACTGCTGAGAGAAAGACAAGCTGTGAGACCTGCCAGTGCTCTGGGTGTGACCGTGCACACCGTGCCTGTGACTCTGCCCCTAGAGTGACCCATCGAGTCAGCACATTGCCAGAGTCACACCAGGCTTTTTAAAATAGAAATGAACAATCTGGTTCTAAAGTGTGAATGTAAGTGCAGAGGGCCTAGAACAGACATTTCTGAGGGCCTGTACTATCTGATTTCAAGCCTTCCCAATAGGAACCATGACAGCGTGGTGAGGGTGGAACTCCAGATCAACTGAAAATACCAGCCCGAAGACCCATGTACACATGATCAACTGATTCATGACAAGGGTGCCAAGGTGACACAGAGGGGGAGAGGTTAGCCATTTACAAACAGCGTTGTACCAAGTGCGTGGTCGTGTGGTGGGCAGCGAACGTGAACCTTCCTTCACACCGTACAACACACTTAACTCCAAGTGGGTTGTTGGCTTAACTGTAAAGCTGTAAGAAGTCTAGAAGAAAACGGGCAAGAAAATTTTCATCTTGGAGTAAGCAGATTGCTTAGGACGTGAATAACACTAATCACAAAATAAATGAAAAGTTGCACTTCGTTAAAAATTCTCTTCAGAAAACAAGAGAAGGTCATAAACTTGAGAAAGCGTTCACAGCACCACGTGCAACGTAGGACTCCTATCCAGAACATAAACCCGAACAGCTCAGAAAGAAGATAGGCTACCCAGTTACAGAAAGGGCCACGAGATTGGGACAGACGTTTCATAGGAGATCCTGAATGGCCAGGACCCACGGGATCCCACCACACGCTCACTGGAATGGCTGAAATTTGCAAAAAGTCCGGTAGTCCAAGTGTTGGCAAGGATGTGGACAGACGCACCTCTCCTAGTGGCTAGTGACAGTGTCAAGTGATAACAACCACTTTGGAAACAGTTCGGTGCTTTCTTAGCTGTTACTCCCTGTGTAACTAGACCATCCGCTCT